AAAAAAAAAAAAAAAAAAATATATATATATATATATATACTGTATATGCATATGTACAGTGAGAACCCATGATGCAGACATATTTGGTGCATCAAGAGTGTCACTAAGTCAAAATGTCCCTAAGTTGAGTCTCAATTTCCCTTAAACTTACATTATATTATTTTAATTGTTGTTTTATGGACAAAATACCAATGAAAATTTTCTCCCAATTGAAACTGATTCAGTCAATACATTTCAACACAATATTGACATTTGGGGAATGGAATACTGACACCTCTGTACAGTACATATAAATGTCTGTAGAATTCTGCATAGTTAATTTTAATAAGATCAGCCAAGAACTGGTTGTATACAGTGAAATTCCATAACAGCGAATTTTATTTCTTGGTCCCAGCAGTTTCTGAACTGGGACAATTCTTAAACAAATTTCAATATTTGTAAGAAGTAATTCTCCTCAATAGTCTCAGTATGACGAATTTTTGCCTTGATTGAGTGTTAATGGGTCATATGAAGTGTGTCTATATCATTGAAAGCACTCTTGCAATTTTATATTTTGAAATAATGTGAAGTTTGCAGCCTGTTTTTGAAGAAAAATAAACTGTCTCAACGCAGGCTATGTGATGAAAGCTCAGTATTTTCAGTACAAAAATATATTGTATGAGCTGATTTCTGATGCACCAGACGTCCCACCAATACTGAAAAACAAATGCTTCTAGGAATAAAGTTCTTTAGCTGCACAAACATTCTTGTTATTGACTGAGTAACTTTTCCGATTTATTTGATTTCAAGTGAGGTGGAAAAAAGTTTAAAGCAAGACATACGACGAATATTTTCAAAAATCTGGCAGTTGAAATTCACTGTGGAAGATAAAAAACTCTATTTTGCGGTTTTTGGAAGGCATTTTATGCGTAATACAGTACAAAATTACAACGCGCAACTTTGTCTGAGACAGGGAAGTAATTTTATTCATATAGGCGAGAATCTAAAATTCATGAACACTTTTTTGGATTCGTGTTCATTATTCGCTGGTATTCGTTTGCTAACTAAAATTTGAATTTTTTTATTGCTTCTAAAACATTTCTTCAATTTTATTTTTAAAGTACTATCTTTTTGGTTTTGAAATAAATTTAGTTCACATTTTATGAAATTTATATTCAAAGGGATTAGCTTTTGATTAAAATTCTATATTTTTAATTACAGTAATTGTTTTTTAAGCCCAATTGTTTTTCAAGTGCACAGCTCAGACGGTATTAATATGTTGAGAAATAATTGATATAATTGATTTCCGCTTTAAAAATCCAGCGCCAACGATTGGGTTTGAATAAAATATACCAAAAAAAAGGTTTCGTGCATTACGTTTTGTTATATACAAGGGTTGTTTCATAAGTTTTGAGACTTTCTTGCATAGATCCAACAGAGTTTCAAAGATTCATGAGAAAATTTTCAAAAGCATAGCCTCATCACTTGGTAACACAGACACTTCAGTGCTGTTTAAATTACTCTCTGCCAATTTTAATGATTTGTTCCATGCAATAAATCCAACAATCAAAATAGGGCCAAACATCGAGTTCCTTTAGTTGATTGAGCTGTTCTTCATTGACGGTGAGAATTAGGCTGTCCCTGTCCTCAAGATCAAACCCTTTCAGATTACTATATTCTTCACTGTGGGTAACAGCCAAAATCACAGAGCGCCTAAAAAGTTACCGTACTCGATTTTTGGCATGGTTTTGATCGTTGGATTTATTGCATGAAAAAATAATAATTAAAAATGGCGGAGAGTAAGTTGAACAGAGTGCTGAAGTATTATGGGGGCTATGCATTTACATTTTTTCTTTGGAATTTTTGAAACTCCTTTTGATCCATGTCAAAAAGTCTCAAAACTTATGAAACAACCCCCGTAGGACGCCTTTCTCAATTATGCGTGGCTTTGGCATAAAATTCATTTCCAACATTTGGTAGTTGCACAAATCTGTCACTCTTCAAAATATGCTTGTCCAAAACTTTTCTTGGCGAAATTTGCGAACTTTTTGGCGGGCTGGCGAAAAGAAAACTCTGGTGGAAGGCGATAAAATAAATCTTCTTAAATGGAAATGAATGCCCATGAAGTTTTTTTTTCCTCTCGAAAACTACGAAACGTTTGAATCATTGATGGATATTTTTCAACAGCTATTTTCTACACACACTGGTAATAAAAGCTGGAAGAACTACACAGTAAATAGAAGCTGAAAGTCGGAAATTAAAGACTGTTTTGAAAATCTACTGCGCGTGTACAATCGAATAGAGCTGTGTTCCATTTTTTGTGACCTAACATTTCCATATCAGTTTTCCTCCTGTAGTAAAATATATCTAAAAGATAAAGCACGTCATTCCTAAGGTTTATTGGACTGGAAATTGGCTGCGAAGGTCACCCAGACGGTTATTTCTGGGTAAACATGCTTCTTGCCCTGGATATTTCATCATGAGGGTAGTGATCACGTAATTAATCATGGGTGGTGCCTTAATTGTTTTCCCCAACTTACACAACTTTTCTCGAATGTTTTTCCTATCCTGCTCATGATATGCCTTGACCAAGTTTGTAAAATGAAAATAAAAACAATAATAAATTTTGCAGGTAGGTAACATCAGCTACAGAAAATTCCTAAAAAACTTTAGTCAAAACATTCAATCACTTGCATACGAGGGTTCTAAGAAAAGTTCTTAGAATGAAAATGAAAATGGCATCTGATCAAGCTGAAAGAAAATTATTCTTTATGGCAACCATATTTTTTGGCACAAAAAAATCAGCCCTGTTTAACAATTTTTTTCAATGTTTTGCCAAATACACCCTGGCAGAGTTTTGCTATACACTCAACAGATGAGGCACCCTTCCTGCAGTTTTTTTTTCTTTTTGTGGCCCAGCTTTCCCCTCAGAATTCTTGAAATCAACTTGGCATTCTTTCTAAGGGTTGCCTCCAGGTCATCCAAGGCAATTCCGCCATTTTCATTGACAGCCGCCTTCACAGCTGTTGGTTCAGAGCCGCCACATTAGCCCCAATGTGGCGGCTGTGAAGGCGGCTGTTGATGAAGAATAATTTTTTTTCAGCTCGATCAGATGCCATTTTCATTCCAATAACTTTTGTTACAACCCTCGTATTTTCCCTTCTATTTTTTGAGCTACCTCTAAGTAGTGTCATACTTCTGCTGGCTCCAAAAAGTATTCATTTTGCCAATATTGGGGACAGATGTCGCCTCAATATAATAACAGCCAAAAACTTCCATGACACCTTAACTTTCATGCATTTAAATTTTTTTGGATGTTTATGTAACAACACATCTCTAAAGTAATAATTTTCCAAGCTGCTTTGTGACCAGATTCCAATGTATGAAAAAAACACCTTTTCTTTCTAAGTAAGGGAGTGAAACATTTTTTTGAAGACATCAATATGCCATGATGAAATTCTTTGGCATAAAAGAAATAGAATAATTTTCCTCACTTGGAAATGAACATCATAGGGCGTGGTGATGGAATTCCTGGACAAGTCAAGCAACTGTAATTCCTTGTAGGCGCCAAGGGCTTGAAACGGCGGCTTTGCCAGCAAATTCCCACTGAGATCCAGTGACTTGAGCGCCAGTGGTCCCATGTTGAAAGTTTCGTCATGGATGAACATGATGGAGTTGTCGCGAACATCCAAGCTCTCCAGTGCCACCAGTCCCTTGAAGGCGTTCTGTGGAAGTCGGGTGAGCGAATTGGACGCCAGCCGGAGCACTCTTAATGACGTGCTCAGGGATCCTGTTCCGAAATCTTTCTCCTTCAATTCGCTGATCAAGTTTCCTGCAGAAAAAGAAATCATGTGGAACATTAAAAAACTTTTCGCTGAAGTTACTTATTCAGCTGGACTCCCCCAAAAAAATTCAAAAGGCCAGACAAAAATGTGTTATAGAGAACCCTTCATAATAGGTTGAGTAGTTACTGTATCTATGCAGTAAATTGGTACCCCTGTGGGACCAAGAAAAAATCATTTTACAAAGAAAATCATCGTAGACAAAATTGTTGTGGAGAGAGTCTACCTGTATAAGAAGTATTGTACTGTATACCGTAGAGCAGTGCTCCCCAGCCTTGTTGGGCCTGTGAACTGGCAAATTTTCAATAAACAATTTTGCGGACCAGCAAATCCTCAATAAATTTTCTGCAGACTGGCAGAGTTTCATATATTTTGTGCAGACTCTTGCCAAAGATTTGCTTGAATGGTATTACAACAGGTAGGCACAAGAAAAATTCAGTTCAGAATGTCATCAAACAATCAGAAAGGTGGACTTTGAGAAAGGTTCCTCAGAAACTTCAGTAATTTATTTCAGCAGGTGAAAATTTGTCTGAAGTATTACTATAGGAAAAAAGCCAACTTTTGTTTTCATCAGATAATTCAACTGCCATTGACTTTCTGAACTTTTAGGTAAAAATAACATACTTCATCCTGACTTTTAATAAAGTTATTATATGCTGAAAATTTCCTGCAGACAGGCTAAAAACTTCTTCAGACTGGCACCAGTCTGTGAACCACTGGTATTGAGGAACACTGCCCTAGACAACAGCTGGTTCAAACTGAAATAATGCAGGAAAAAGAACAGGTTTATATAAACAAAAGGTATTGCAGTTACAGTCAAAGTATCACTTTTCATTGATTTACTGCAAGTGAGGTCTTGACTCTTGATTGATCAACACAAAAATTAATAATTAAAAAACATTCCAGCAGCTAACAGGCAAACTCTTTGTACAGTTTCTGCACTGGCTTAGTGGCTTAAAAACCCTCATTCAGCTAGCAATCATTCCTTGTGGGCTGAAACTTGAAATTTTGCTTATGCAAGAACTACTGTACTGTAATGGTGGGGGAACAAAATATCTTTGTTAGTCAATCCCACTGCATTTGCATGTATAGTGTACCAGTTTTGCCATTTCCCAGACAGCTGGTTTGAGCTGAACCAGAAGAGCAAAAACATGCTGCCTATATGCTTACAAAATATGCATCCATTGTTTAATCAAGGGCAAACTGCGAAATTTAGAAACATAAATAATAAGAGCCGGCTAGGGATGAAAATAGCATGCGGAGCCCTGCATAACAAAATACTCATTAAATGAAAATTGTGCATACACATTTTTTGGCAAACAAGTTACTCACATAAGAGGTATTTTTCACATAAGACAGATTTCTGGAGAAAAGAATGCATTTATGCCTTTCATCAGTAAGTATTCTTCTTAAAATATTGAAATTTGAAACTGTAATAAAACAAGCATTACTGTAACTATACAAGAAGAAATGAATGGTGAAATTCAGTTACTTTTTGCCTAACAAATTGTTGGTTCCGGAAATTTGAATGCTTGCATTCCAGGTATGAAGGATTAATCAACATTTTATGCTGCGACATTTTCAATTAATTTTGGTTAGAGATGCTCATTTGTTGCAGAACCTGTACTTGAATCCTTCTAGGGCGTGTCCAGCAATTTAAAACCAGATAGACAATGGTCATCCTTGGGAAATACAAACTGCAAGAAAAAATTTCAAAGCCCCTAAAAACTGAAAGAAACCTTGAATTGGACAATGCAACAAGTCCAAATGGACAGGGAGACATTTATTAATGAAGTCAGAAAATTAGGAAACAAATCATGATATAGAATCATATTCATACAACGCAACCCTGTGTATTTTATGCTCTAGTGATCAGTATTGCGACCTGTAACCCAATATTGGGGTTATTCGGAGTACTGGCTGTATTTTCATTAGTGTTATAGTACAACGGAGTGAGGTCAAGTGCCATGGTCATTGGGTGCATCGCAAATCTATACCCAAAAGTCAAAACAAAGAGTTTTTCGTCTATTGAAAATAAAAAAATTCTAGGAAAGAATTTGCAAGTGTGGAATATAAGCAAAACTGCAGTACACAAGGGAATTATCTAAATGTTCGTCAGTGCATTTGAAGTGACACCCAAGTTTCTGAGATAAAATAAAAAAAAACCTTTGAAAAGGTAGCAACTGACACTTCAAGGCATTTGAAATTTATTCATAAAATTCAGGCATCACAACACTTCATTTTTGCAACATGAAATATGAGAAATTGCATCTATAATAGGGAGAAGTTCCGATTATAATTTGAAATGGATGGCACCATTTTAACTGCATCAGTTTCACAAGTCACAAAAGGGTGATTGAAAGACTCAATTTCCTTTGAGATATGGTGCCAAATGTTCAACCCTTTTTGTTTCAATGTGGATAAGAAAATCTAGAAAAATAATTAATAAATCACAACATAATGATCTGAAAAATTAAGTGAATCTCCATCCACCCAGCCAGGCTCTCAGCAGTAAAAAAAAAAACAAAAAAAAAACTCAGGACTACCAAAAATTATGAAAAATTCTGGTAAAGCTTCTCAAATTCAGCATGAACTAATATCTTTGCCTCAATTAAGCCTGTCTTGAACAGGCAGTGATCATCTTCAATGGGATCTTTATTTCATTGCTGCCAGAACCATTATGTATCCATGTGTTGAATCATAGAAGATTATTCGGAAAATTCAAATAAATGTCCATCCACACAGCACTAAAGCTCCCAGCAATGAACAAAAACTCAGGGCGACCAAAATTATGAAAAATCTTGGTAAAGTTTCTCAGGTTTGTCATCAATAAATATCTTTGCCTCAAATCAGAATGTCTTCAACAGACAGTGATTACCTTTAATGGGGTTATTGTAGTGTAGGGCAACCTCTTAAACGAAGGAAGTTTCTGGTCACTTCCAGTTAATAAGACCAATTGGAGTACTGGAAGACCTCACTCTACTCAATCGAATGAGACTTGGGTTTTTCCTCATGTTATTTGAATATTAGGTGAAATGACCCAGAATATTTCATAGCTGTCATGAGAACCAGTACAGGTGATACCTTGCAATTTGACCTTGCACAATTTAACTATCCTGCAATTTGACAGTCAAATTTGCGGAGAGGTTGACTTGCAATTTGACCCTTGCCCCACAATTTGACCAGCTTTGGCCACTTTTTCAAATTTTTTAAATGATATTTTTGAATTTCACAAAGTGTCTCACAATTCAACTGCTTTGTACTTCAACCATAGTTTGGTAATGGATTAGGGTCAAATTGAAAGGTACCACCAGTATATATTCATGCGTGTTAAGTCATTAAAGATTGATCTGAAAAACTGGAAAAAAATCTCCATCCACCAAGCATCAAAGCTCTCAGCACTGAATATAAACTCAGGACTGTACACAAATTATGAAAAATCCTTGTCAAAGTTCTCAAATAAGTTCATCATCAGCAAATATCTTTGCCTCAGTTCAGCCTGTCTTCAACAGACAGTGATTATCTTCCATGGGGTCTTTATTTTATAGCTGTCATCACAACCAGTTTATATGCATGTGTTAAGTGACTTAAGTCATGAAAGATTGATCTGAAAAACTGAAAAAATCTCCATATCCACCAAGCATCAAAGCTCTCAGCACTGAAAAAAACAAACTCAGGACTAAACACAAATTTGAAAAAAAAATCCCTTGTCAAGTTTCTCAAATAAGTTAATCATCACCAAATATCTTTGCTTCAGTTCAGCCTGTCTTCAGCAGACAGTGATTATTATCTCTCAATGGGTTCTCTATTTTATAGCTACTGTCAGAACCAGTATATCTATAAGTTCCAAGCCTTCCTGCACTTCCATCCACCCACACCCACACTCACAATCAAGACTTGTCAAGAGCGCTCTTGATTCACAAATACATTCTTCTCCCCTTGCCCTCACCGGCCCCAAGGGGATTCCGAAAGTGGTATGCATGCTATATAAGTATAAATATATACAGTATATATATATATATGTACAATATGTATATACAGCAGACGTATTCTCTGTGAAGCTTCATCATCAATGCGACTGCACCACGTACGCATGGTTGATCACCACGGCCGGGGCAATGAGATCAAGAGTTCCTGGCCCACCCGGGGTATAATAGCGTACTCTGGGTATGCGAGCGAGTACTTGTCCGGTATAATTGAAAGGGCGTCTTCCGCTTGTCGACCATCAAACGAGAGAGCACACATCCGTGTTTCCCACGGGGAATATATATATATATATATATTTGAGCAAACGCAATATCCCCAGGTGAACTGTCAGCAAATATATATACTGTACTGTACATACGAGTCGCGTGAGCATGTCGCTTCAATATGCGGCCATATATCATGTGAAATAATAATGGTGCTGGTTTAAGCAAAATACTTGATTAAATAATGAACACGATCTTTGCTGCATCAGTGGATATACATATACTGTACGACATTTTTATAAATGGAGCAGAGTATAAAAGTTTTTTTCTTTCACAGCGACGCTGGGGGTTTCATATGGACGCTTCCTGATTATGGATTTTTTACTCTACATATAAGGACTTGTATGGATGTAATTTATTGCTCTATATAGACGTATAAAATTAATTTTTTTTTTCGCTTTGGATACTGCTAAAAATCGCTTTGTAGAATATAACATATGTAAATTAATGATCCTGAACCCTTAATATATAGGCAGTGCTGGAGACAGGGTATTTTTGCCAAATTAAAATTTAAAATTAATGCGGTAAATATTAATATAAATATGTTACTAATGTATATTCTGACAATATTAATCATTGATGTGTATAGCATAGCACTGTATCACATGCGTAATACATATATTTTTTCAATATTTGGAGGAAAAAATAATTACCATCACAGGCAGACATAAACTTATATAAAGATTTCCAATTATTTTAAAGTTTAGGTGCGCCTCACACTACAGTGTTTGATGAAAAATGAAAAAATGGACCTATTAA